ACCTGAATAGGAGACGAGAATAGACAATCAGTGTGTGTCTGTGGAGTGTCCTTTTCACTAGTGCAGGTGATGAGTGACAGCTGGGAAGTGACTGGGTGATTGCTGAAGGAGTGCAGGTGAGTAGAAGGAGGGATGATGGGAAATGTAGTGTGAATATGACTCAACTGGAAACCATGACACTTTCACTGTATGACAAGTACTTATTTTAACAAAGCATTTATTTCATATTAGCATATTACCCTTGTAATTACTCACCCTGAAGAATATTTAAATATCAAAACTATTTGAACATGAGCATTTTCTCATCCTTATTTTTCACTATTAATTACTATTGAAGCTTGTTTCCACCATAACAATTGACAACAGCAATTTTGTAAGTCTTATTATTACTTTTGTTTTATGTTCAGAGTGGCAAGTATGATCCAGCAGTTTACTTCTGGGCTGAACTCCTGTGGCCAGTTGTGGGAGGTGGTGCTTAATAATTGGACAGCTTTCCTCCCCTTGTTTACCAACACAAGAGGTACACTGACAAGAAATGAAGTCCGAGACCTCTTCAACATTGTCTAGAGTTCACCAGAGAGCAACAGGCGAGACCTTGAGGAGGACACTGTCTTCCAGTGGGAGTGCTGGCTAATGTTGATTCAAGGCTGCGCACTATTTTGTAATGTAATTAGATTTTGCTTCTTGCCTTGCACACAAACAGAAGAAGATGTGGGCATATCCTTTGAGGATGTCCTAGTGTTTGTAACTGCAGCAGATTCTGTCCCTCCACTGGGCTTTCAGCAAAAGTGCCAAGTGGAATTTTATGACAAACAAGTGTATGGGAGGGGTTGAAACCCATCTGCCTCGGCCTCACACAAAGACATAGCCGGTCACTAGAGAAGAGAATTGTTGAGAGGGGTTCATAGAAGTTACTGTTGATTGAAGAGGAAGAGCAAACAGTGATAAAATAACACGCAGATAAACATTTTAGAACTTTACATCTATAAGAATTGTGAACTTTCATTTTCACATCAAGTTTAAATGGCTTAACCTTGCCAAGTTTCCACAATACAAATCGATGCTTGTGTTCATTAAATAAAAACCGCACTAATGTTTTTGCAAACATCTGAATCTTTAGAATTTTTTATAAAAGCTCTGGTAAAAATTTTGGGGCAAGATCTAAATGTATTTGATTATCAAAATATAAATCCGAAAACAATTTTGGTGTGGGAACTGGGCACTTTTATTTGACCAGCATTCCAGAAGAGCTCAACATTGACATTGATGCACATGACCTTAAATTAAAATGACTACTACAACATCTTAACATATTTACATATTAAAATAATGACTTATTTGGGTCCATACAAATGTAAAAAGTGACCAAATTTCACCAAGAAATATGTGGCTGTTTTGGACAGTTCTTTTGGTGCCAAGAAATAAAAACATGAAAGTAATGTATAATGGAACATACTCTAAACAAACTTGAAAGGTTAGCTCTATGTTTTGCCCATTTAACATGTAGCCATAAGTTCTATTTTAGGATGAACTCATCCTTTCCTATGATTGATTTAAAGATGTCAAAAAAGACAAAACATTGCAAAGGATGTCTAATCCAAGTTCTGCTTGTGTCCCACCACGTGGATTAAATTGTGCAACAAGTTGCTCAAAGGTTGCATTGTCCAAAGTGTAGGGATTCTGTGGTACTGGTACTCTGTCTGGCCAGTCAACCATTGCTGCTCCTTGCATTCTTGATGTGGTTTCTCCTTGTTCAGATGGTCCTTGAACCACCGTTTCATCTGCTGGCCCAGCTCTTCTGCCAAAGATTTCTTGCATTGCTGTGGTTCTTTGTCCTTGTTGTTCCAGACAGCCTCGGTCTGCATTGGGGTCTGATGTCTTTCAGTTCTCAGCCCATGGTTGTTCCATTGTCGGATAAAGGCAGTCAAGTCCCTGTTGATCCTTGGCAAGTAGACATAATGAAGTGCCCAGAGATGCATTTCATTATCTATGTCCACTATACCTTCACTCTCCAGGAAGTGGAAGAGCTTATATGCCCGCCACATGTCACCCCAGAGCCTCTCAATATGCTGGTTATCTCTGGGCCCCTGAAAATGTTCATGATCACACAGACATCATTGTTTTCTCCTCCATGATCTGTTCAGACCCTAGAAGGCACTCCATACCTGGCCACAGCATTCAAAAAGCTATTCATTACAGTGCTGCTGCGGTTGTTGCTTGAGGCACGGAAAAAGACTATGAGATGACTGTAGCCATCTATACCAGTGTTTCCCAACCTTTTTTCAGTCATGGCACCCTTTGAAATTTTTCAAATATTTGTGGCACCCTACACAAACACTAATGCTATACAGTCCCCCTCCAGACCACCACACACACTCAATTGAAAAGGACTTACTTTCAGTGGGAAACCTGAGCCTGGGATGATGCACACAGCTTATCAATTCTGTCAGGAATGGATGAGAGACAGACACGAAGTTCCTGATCCACTGTTCTCAGACGCTCTCTGTACTTATTCTTGATGTATGTCAGGCTAGAAAAACTCAATTCGCACAAATAGGTTGTGGAAAATGGCAAGTTTGCAACAGCTGGATATTCTTTCTCCACAGTTATCCAAAAACTGTCCAAAGCCATGTCTTGAAATTTCATTTTTGAACTGCGATCTTCCCTTAGTTCCGTGACTTGTTCTTGTACTTGCAGTGGCATGCGTTTTGAACTTTCCAGTCCAGATGAACTCCAAGGATCAAGGACCCAGTCAAATTCATCATTAGGCTCAGCTGGAAAATAAAAGCTGAACCTCTCCTCTAGGATTTTAAGATGCTGGGCGATCAGCTCAGGGAGTTTGCTGTTTGAGTGTGCATTGCACAACATATCAAGTTGGCCCTGTTCAACAAAAGAGCGCCAGAGGGCGAGCTTGCCCTAGTGAAAAAAAAGTATACTTTATTGTATTTGTAATATATTACCTGTTTTAATAGTACATTGCAAATATACTAACAAAAAATATACTATCTTTAAATATATAAAAAGTATATTAGCAGCATGCTTTTGTCTATTTTCACAATACAACTTTTAACACACTTTAAAACAATTGTAATTTAGTATATTTTCTAAAAAATATATTTTACAAAAATATACTTGAATTGAAAGCATAACAACAATTGGCATTGATATCTGTATAAAGCTGCAGAAGTAGTTCCCCAGGAATCAGTTTTTAGTCTCTTTCAATATTGTTTGGAAGTGGAATGACATACAGTTTGTCTTTAGACCTAATAATTACACATTTACACTTGAGTGATTGAGGATGGACAGCAAATACATTATGAAACACTATATAGATGTTGAGGATATATTTAGCTGAACATCTCTAAAAAAATGTTCCTCCATGCACGGCTTTCTGTTTGTGGTGGATGCAGAAGATGCCCCATCCTCACACTTGAAAGCGATCAGGGTCAGAATTTCACAGAATGCTCCTTCACTTAACTGTACAACAGAACTGATCCTCTTTTAAAGAGTTGTGTTATTACAGGAATGATAAACAACACTGCTCACTGAGAATTTTTTTTTAATGCTGTTCACTTTGTTTAAACAATTGCTTTTGATTTAACACCATTATATCAGGTTTCCCGTTCAAACATCATGTTGAACAGACTTGAAACAACTTTTTTCTTTTAAATAATGTTTTTGGAGAAAATATGTTTGTATAGAGTATAGGGCTATAGGTTATTATAAACAATTAAAAGCTAATCGAATAAATACATAAACAATAGCAAATATATTTACTATTTTTATATTTATATATATTTACTAATGTTTACTATATTTCACTGGGGGAAAATATTAATTTAATTTACTAATTTTTTTAAGGAAAGTGGTTGCAATCAATTTATTTTAGCTACATTTAAATAAATTTAGTTGACTAATTTTCAAAAATTTTTATTTAAATGTAGCTCAAATAAATAGTTTGCAACACACCTTAAAACATTTTTTAAATAATTTTTTTCAGTGTACATACGTCTTTCATATAAAGCCTTTTTTATGTAATAACTTTTACTTATGCTTTTAACTTTTACTTAAAGCCATTGTTCGGCCGTGTGTAATAACAAGCTCTGATGTTCCGCTCCCATAAAATCGAAAATAGACGGCTCTTCAGTGGCCGTGCCTTGATGAACTTAACTATATCTACTGCTCTGTCCAATACATCAGAGTGTTTCAATGTCTGAGGACATGTCATTTATTCGCCTACCAATTTTATTGTTTGACAGGGGCACCTTTGATATTTCTTTCTCAGCTTGTGGACCTAGCATGGTGTTAACAATGGCTTTGCATGCAGGCAAGATTACAGTCTCAGCGATTGTGTGGGGCTTTTTCGATTTGGCTACTATTTCGGCCACAAGATAACTAGCCTTCAGTGCTTTCTCTGACACTCTTGCACTCTTCATCATAACTTCTTCTTGTTCTTCGTGTTGCCTTTTTAATCGATTAAAATATTCTGCGTCCTTGCTTACTAGTGATGGGGGATTTTTTGTCAGATGCCCTTTTAGTTTCAAAACGTCGTTCTGCGACTGAATAAATGCACTTGTTGTCAAGAGAAAAAGTGACAGAAGCAGCAGTTGTGAGTGGGGTGGCCAACCCTTTTTTACTTTTCTTTGTATATTCATTTATATTTTTTTGCATTTTTACATTTCTTTGTATATTTATGTATGTATGTCTAATTTTGTCAGGTTTGGCATTCCATAGTTGCAGAGTTTAAGAGCGTTTTTTTAGTTGTAACTCCTTCTGCATAATGACTACACAAAAATTCACCCATATCACTTTTAAAACCTGCTCTGAGCGGGAGATGTTCTTTCAAACAGCCATATGTTTCAGTGCAATGTTCACCAGAGCTTTTTAATATATGTCTTGATAATGATTATGAAAGATAGCTGCCATTTAAGCAATTTAAGTTATATATATCTGTCCATCTATAGGGGGTAGGCTCCGCCCCTGCCTTCATCTTCAGGCAGGATCAGCCAAATCTGCGTCCCCAGGATTTGGACAAAGGATGGGGCCTATGCCAAAGAATGTTTCTATACAACTATTCATTAATTATTGTAACTCACTCACCACCATCCGTTAACACTTTACAGAATAAATACCATGTAAACGTTTACCTCCTCTCTGAGTCTTTCTGATAGAATTATCTTAATTTCAATGGTTTTAACATCACAGATGATGTTGTGAAGAAGTCATTAGGAGCCAGGCACCTTTTGTATCCGTTAGTTTTCTTCATCTTCTTCTTTCGCTCTGCAAGTCTATGGCAGCCCATAGAATCGTATGGTAGACAGTTGTGAAATTTGGCATATAGATAGAGGACAGTCTCAACAGTAACCACAGCAAATTTGGAGTCTCTAGCACTTATGTTTATAATTTGCTTACAAGTTTCCTTCGGAGTCAAATGCATAATTAAAATTTTAGCTGGTCATTTCACCAAAATTAGCTTAGATCATCATCAGACCATGTTGGCAAAAATCAACGAATAACATATTCTGACCAAACTTGGTACACGTCATCAAAAGCATCACCTAAGGCAACATGCATTGTTTTGGCACAGTGCCACCTGCTGGTCAGGAGATATGAAAAACGGCTATTTTTGCTAATAACTTTTTAACAGTTTGTCATTAAATCATAAAACTTGAATTTTGTAGTAATATGCTGTATTTTTCAGATGCATTAGAGTATCATTATGAAACTCGGTATGTGTCATTAGGACCATACTCTGAACGGACTAAAAGTTTTGGAACAGTGCCACCTTCTGGTCAAAATTTCAAATGAAATTTAAAACAAAAATGCTAATAGTTTATATTTATAAAATAAGATAATTCAATAAATCCTACAATTGTTTTACCAAGCGCCCTGCTATTTCACAGCTTTCTCAGTCAACCTCTCAGGCTGATAAAATACTAAAGTTAATGCTGACAGTGCTGCTGGCTTGGATATTCGTATCTAAACATTTTTATCAGCATATCAGAACAAACTAACATTTTTGCCATAGTTGGCAGTATGGAATAACAGACGAACTGTTATCTCTATCAAAGAATCGGAGTCTGGACTTATATTGGCCCAATCTAACAAAAAATCTTCATTATTTATGCACAGATTGTGTCATTTTATTTATATTTTTCCATTAACATTGTTGCATTTGACAGCAAGACAAAAGTTGAACTAATATTTTCATTCCAGAGTACCAATCTATGAACTGATGAAATGGAGCGTCACTGAAATGACTGTATTAGCTGCTCAGTGTTTGAAACTACGTGGTGGTCATGTAGTTTCCCCACCATGGTAGATGGTTGGTCAGTTCAAATGGCCATGACAAAGTTCATATGTACATGACAAAAGAAAATAAAAATTTCAAGGCAAAGTATAAAGAGGTGATGGATGCAAATAAAACAATTGTTGATGCAGTTGGACAATCAGATTTGGTCCACATTCACTTGTGATTTGAATGTAGCCTTCATTTCACACAGATACATATTTTCTGGTGCCATTTTAATCTGCAGTCATTTAAAACACTTTACACACAAAGAACATAAATAGGGCCTCACATCTGCACGAGTGTGGCAAATATATATATATTTTTTACACTGATCACAATTAAATTGCCTTCCTCTAGAGCCGGGCTATTCAATTAGTTTCGTTTGAGGGCCGGAGTATTGAATTGAAAATTTGAAGGGGGCCAGGGGGGAGGGGGGCTGTCCCGATCTCTTTCTGGGGGGCCTATAAAATTAGAAATTAAATTTAAATGCATACAATATCAACTAATATGATCAACACCAACATCTATAAAAACAAATTGTGCTGTCTGTCAGTCGTTTTAATGTTATTTTTCTGTAATTAATCATGATTAATTGCATATTAACATGTCATAATTTCACATTGAACCTCCAAATTAATGTAGAAACTAAAGGGGGTATATTTTAAATATGTTTAATGACATCTCTTTACTAAGTAGCCTATTATTAACAAATGCCAGTATTTTTGATACCAATACTGCTACTGATGTCTCTATTAACTGCATTTTCACCTCAATTTTAGCCATTACTTATAGCCATTCAACTTTAAAGTATAATTGAAAGACATTATTTTTAACATTTAGTAGGCTCTGAAAAATATAACATTAATTTTTTTTTATGCCGTTTTATTTAGATAGGACAGTATAGGTCAACAGGAAGACAGGAAGTGAAGTGGGCGAGAGAAAGGGGGATGGGATCAGGAAAGGTCCGCGAGCCGGGACTCGAACTCGTGACACCCGAAGCGCAATGGCGCTGTATGTCAGCACGCTGCCCACAAGGCTATCAGCGTCGACTACAACATTTAATTTAAGTGAACTTAAAACAATCTTCAAAAACTATAAATTGTATTTTATAGTTTTGGCATAATTGTGTGTTTTTGTTGGTTGACTGACGTTTGTCTGAAGCTGCTCAGCGTGTGCGTACAGCCGAACACGCAACCTTTCAAACTGTACTCCATCTGATAATCATCTTCGTTCAGTGTCTGCGCTCTTTCTCGGCAGAAGTTATGACCGATAACACTGTCTTGAAACTCGTTTAAACTAGTGTTGAGTGTATCTCATAAACCTCTCACACAAGTGCTTGTCAACACTGCTGTCTATTGATGTTGCGGTCTCCGGTAGATTGTTGTTGTTGCGTCTCTTCCTTTTCTTTTTTGGCTGTGAAACCACGGCCTGGGACAGTGATGCCACCTTGTGGACAAATTAATTAGTGCAAAAACATTCAAGGCATTTTTGCGACCTGTGCGTACTCTTCCCTCGGGCCGGATGAAGATGATTGGCGGGTCGGATTGGGCCCGCGGGCCGCCAATTGAATAGCCCTGCTCTAGAGTGAATGCGAAGGCAATTTTTTTAATTGCTCCTTTTCGTTAACCTCGTCACACTCGCAATTTATTTTCAGAATGAGTTTGCAAATGATGTTTCAGGTCTCTTTGATATGTGAAACTTATCTTGCACTGAAGACATGTGAACGGCTTTTCGCCGGTGTGAAGTCTCATGTGAGTCTTAAGGTTTCCTTTAAGTGTGAAACTCTTCCCACACTGAGGGCAGGTGAAAGGCTTCTCTCCTGTGTGAATTACAATGTGAGTATTTAGGCTTCTTTTATGACTGAAACTCTTTCCACATTGATGACATGCAAGACAGTTCTCTCCTGAGTGAATCCTCATGTGGCAATTCAGGGTTTCTTTACATCTCAAACCCTTTCCACACTGACCACATATGAACGGCTTCTCTCCAGTGTGACTTCTCATGTGGGCATTAAGACTTTCTTTTCGTGAGAAGCTCTTCCCACATTGTTTGCAGCTGTAAGGGTTCTCTCCTTTGTGAATTCTCATGTGGGCATTAAGGTTTCCTTTATGTGTAAAACCTTGTCCACACTGAGTGCATTTGTAAGGCTTCTCTCCAGTGTGAACTCTTAAGTGGACTTTAAGGTTTTGTTTTTGAGTGAAACACTTTCCACACTGTTGGCAGGTAAAAGGCTTCTCTCCATTGTGAATTCTCATGTGGACGTCAAGGTTTTGTTTATTAGTCAATCTCTTTCCACACTGACGGCAGGTGAAATAACTGCTAGATTCTGTCTTCTGACCTCTTTTTCGTAAGGAAGTCTTCTTAGTCTTTGTGGATTTTTCTCCAATCACGAAATCACGTTTCTGGTCTTTCTCTTCCATTTCATTTATTTCTTCACTCTCCTCTTTCAGTGTTATCAGGTCTAAAGAAAGAAAAAGATAAATTCAAGTTAACCCCAGTTTAATGGCCCAAAGCAACAGACATCAAAAATAATATAAAACATTAAAGCATCTCAACCAACATGTGTGCTAGATCCTATATGCACTAAGCTATGAAAGAGGTGTTACCTGTATTATCAGAATTCTATTACCTCAATATTTTTAACTCGTTACTTTCTTTAGGACACGCCCAAGCTTGCAGTTATCAAACCCTTTATAATTTGACCCAGAATAACAGGTTCATTATAGACCAATCCCAAATCTGCCATTCATATCTAAAATATTAGAAAAAATGTTGCCTCTCAACTGTTGTTTTGTAAAAAAACAATATTTCAGGCATAATTTAAAGAGACTGTGCTTATTAAAGTTACATTTCTCTTCTCTTGCCATTAGATCTGTTTGACAACACAGACCACAACATTCTTTTGAATAGCTTGAGAATTATGTTGGCTTTGGTGATCAAGCATTAGCAGTTTTGGTCCCATCTATCCGACCGCTACCACTTTGTGTAAATGAGGAGACGTCTCCTCAAACACAAGTATTGAGTGCCACAAGGCTCAGTATTAGGTCCTCTGCTTTTCTCCCTATAGATGCGTCCCTGGGGGTATGTTAATAGATTTAGAAGTAGGACCAGTGTCGATAATTAACAGGATTGTCAGACAAAATGTTCCTGTTTTTTATAACATATGAAAATTGTTTTATTCTCTAAAATCAGCATGTTTTAATTTGTGATATTGCTGTTATACAACAATTCAATAAACAAGAAGTTAATATTAAGGAACTATAGGCCGTGATTGGTAACTTACTTAATATTGGGACAGTCGTGGCCTAATGGTTAAGACAGTCGGAATTGTAACCCAAAGATTACAGCAGGAATTGTAGCTCTCTTCCACCTTCAATAACCATGACTAAGGTGCCTTTGAACAAGGCACCGAACCCCCAGTTGCTACCCGGGCGCCGCAGCAAAAATGGCTGTCCACTGCTCCGGGTGTGTGTGTTCACTGCTGTGTGTGTGTGCCCTTGGATGGGTTAAATACAGAGCACAAATTCAAAGTATGGGACACCATACTTGGCCACACATCACGTCACGTCATATCTAACCTTTGAATAAAAATGAAAGAAGAAAAGAGAGAAAGCTGCAAGAGGGCAGACAGGGTACAAAAACACCTGCCAACTTCAAAATATTTTCTACCAGTCATTTAAATAATGCTATATATACAGTGGGGAAAAAAAGTATTTAGTCAGC